CTGGCGGCTCGGCGCGCATGCGCCCCGTCGCGCGCGCTCCCGCCCAGCCCCGAGGGAGGAGCGGCCGTGCGCTGGGCTGGTTCAGCCTGGGAGGTGGGGCGGATCGGAGGAGCCCGCCGCGTGGACCCTGAGCTGAACCGTAAGGAGCCGAGGGAGGGGATGCAAGACCGTCTTCTGAGGGGAAAGCGGGGGCTCCGGGAGGCTCCGATCCCCTAGCATAGCCGGTCACGTTACCTTCTAACGGAGGCAGGTCGGCGGCCAGACGGAGTGACCTCATCGCATCAATTCCAAGCATCTTAAGATACCCGAGACAGACTCGTTTTCATTGGTTCGGACGATCCCGAAACCGCTGGCGTATCGTAGGCCAGTACCCTTTCCAAAACTGTTGCGATGAAAGTCTCGCAGCCAAAGGCTTAGGATAAGGGAGTCGCGGGATCTGGGGGTTTCGCGCTCGCTACAATTTATTAACAACTTGACTCGCGTAACTTTCTGCTTTTGCTGTGGGCTTTGCCTTCCCTCCTTTGTGTGAAAAGTGTTCAGGTGAAAAGCAATGGGAAAAAAACCCGCCTGCTTTCATCCCTGGTTAATGGAATAAACCGCTTTCAAAAGCCTTCCAAGTTAGTTTCTGAGCAATGTCACCTACGCTCGAGGTGTTTAGCTCTGTTAAAATAAATTGCTTCTGGGTAGAAATTGTGCGAAACGGCCAAAGATCAAGCCCAGGACCTCTATTTGGCAACGCTGTTAGTTACTCTTTCTGTTTTCTTTGAAAGTAATTTAAGCAAACGTTTTTTTTTCAGCGATGACCATAATTTTCATTGGTGTGGGGGTGGGGGCTCAATTTAGATCTCTTTCTAAACAGCTTTGATTTGAACATTTGCAGGAAGACAGATAAACAGACCATAGGTTAAAATCAGAAAATTTCCTGGTATGAAACAGAAGTTAATAGCAGACTATATTAAGTGGGTTAGAGTAGCTATTTCCAATGGTTTGTGAACAAATTGTTCCCATTTTCCAGCCTCCTTCCAGGGCAGTCACCATGTCTCCTTGGACAAGACTTCCAAGAGACCCCTTCCTGGGTGTGGCACCTGAGAGTGTCTCATAATACTGCTCAAAGTCGGTTAGCCTTGTAGGTTCTACAAACTTCCACTTATCTAACTGGGTCTGTTTTTGTTTTAGGGTTTGTTTGTTTTTCACATCCCTTCCCTCTCTCCTAGACTCACGGGGTTGAGCGCTAGAATCGTCCTATTATTTTTGTATTCACAGTATTTTATGTCCTGCACCTAAGTGCTGTAGCACTAAATGCTTGTTATTGAATTGGATTAATTGAAGATAATCTGACCCAGAAGATGGTGCAAAGGCAGCATTCCCATGGCGCTATGCCCAAAGCCTTTTTCTAGTGGAAACACTGGGCCACAGGGCACACGGGTGAGCATTGCTAATGTAAGAATTCCCCAAAAGACAAGAAACCAGCCATTGCCGTGGCTGCGGCGGGCTCTCAGGACAAGTGTCACTAACCATTGAGAGTGCCTGAGTCCACTGAGGAAGCAGTATGTCTTTTAATCCGCTGAGAGTCCCTCGACTTTCAGTGTGCTTAGGTGTTATCCAGGTGGTCCTAACTCCTAGCTACCTTATCTTGTGCATGACAATGACACACTGGCCCGTCCCGGCCATCCTGACCAGTGCTGTTGTGTTGGGGTCCATCCTTGCTGCCACGGTATCAGTCTGTCAGCAGGCTCACAGTACATGAGACAAAGTTTTGCCATCTGCACCTCTGTGGAGCACTCTGGTTGGACGTCCTCCTAGACAGATTTGTTTGTTTCTTCCGGTCATCCCGGGTGTGTTCTGGATGCTTCACCGGCACTAAAAATCAAATGTATCGATTCTCATTTTGTCTTCCTTATGCATTGTCCACACAATGTCCACAGGTGTATGTGATTGAAAATACCCTGGCTGGGGTAAAGCGCACCTCAGTCCTCAAACTGACATGTGTGCTCGTGTTGGCGAGTGTTGAAGAGTTTTGCTTTAAAGTGTTGCTGTAAAAGAGGTCTTGTGCAGCAGATTGAGCCGAGGCCATGTGTCGTTTGTCCACTGCATCCATGAGCACTGATGGTGGGCCCGAGTGAAGTGAAACGCTTGACAAGGTCATTCTTGACTGTCCACCAGGAAGCTGTCTATGGGTCCAGATCTGAGGATCTTTGTGTTCTTTTACATTAAGTTGCAGTCCACATTGAAAGCTCATCCTTTGATCTTCCTCAGTAAGTTCTTCACATTCTCCTTACTTGTAGCAAGCAAGGTCGTGTCGTCTGCATATCACAGGTGGTTAAGGAGCCTGCCCCGCATCCGGATGCCACGTTCTTCTTCAGAGTCCACCTTCTCGGACTCTTAGCTCAGCTTGCAAATCAAATGAATATGGTGGAAGGGTACAATCTGACACATACCTCTCCTGATTTCCAGCTGTGCATAAAATGCTTGGTCTGTTGGGACAACTGCCTCTTGGTCCCTGGTTTTCTGTCTTTAGCTAGTTCTTTAAGGAAGGAGCATGGAGCCCTGGTGGTTACAAGTTGAGCTTCAATCCTCATGGTTGGCAGTTCAGAACTGCCAGCAGCTCCTTAGGAGTAGAAAGACTAAGCTTTCTACTCACATAAACTAGTTACCGTTTCAGAAACCCCCAGAGGGTCTCTGAGTCAGCACTGGCTCGATGGAAGTGAGTATCAGGAAGGAACAGTGTATCTGAGAATCGTCCGGTTATCTCAAGAATTAGATTTCTCTTAGTGTCTACAAAAGTTGACGTTCTAGGGATGAGTCAGATTCCCACTGGTGTCAGGGTCTGCGTATTCCCAGCTGAAGAGACCAACCAGCCTCTTGGTTGTGCCCAGCTGGGAACTAACCCAACATCTGTTCACCTTCAAAGGCAAAGGGCCCCACTTGTCAGCCAGCGGGACTCTAGCATCTTTCCATGTAGACTTTGATTTTTTCAATCCCCAGGATTACGCCGTAAAGGAAACAGAGCTCGTTTTGTTTGGTCGGCAAACCTCTGTTGGCTCTTTTCGGTCATCTAGGTGGTTGCTCGGGAGCCCTCCCTGGGTTGGTTTGGTTGCTGTGTTGGGTGGACTCTGATTCAGAGGTTTCCAGGGCTATGACTTGCCGCAAGCAGACCACCGGGCCTGTCTCCTGAAGTGCCTCTGCGTGTGTTCAAACCGCCACCCTTCTTGCTAGTCGGCAAGGGCTTAGCCGGTTGTGCCACCCCAGAACCGGGGGAGGGCCTGAAGTTTGCATTTCTCTAAGGGGGCACCGGTGACTGAATGGTTTGGGGACGATCCACACCAAGCTCCCTGCCATCCAGTCCATTCCAGTCATAGTCACCCTACGGAACAGGGTCGGAGGCCCCGTGAGGTTCGGAGACTAACTTTTTACAGAAGTACAAAGGCTCATTTTTCCCCCTGCCTTTTCTTCTTTTTGGTGGGGGGCATGTTCCTGAGTTCAAGTCTGGTGGGTTGTCATGCCTGGTCCACACTCCTGTGTGGACAGGATCTTGAACAGTTTCAGCAGAGCTTCCGATGGCAAACTACAAAGACATGTCTAGCAGTCTGCTTGTGAAAGGCAGAGAGAACCTGATCGATCACAATGATCCCAAACCTAGCCCACCGAGGCTACGGCCCAGGACAGATTTTGCCCTTTGTGTCTGTCTGACCCAAGCTTATCGGAGGGCAGGGAGTGAAGTACAGCCCAAACAAGCAGGGTCCCAGGGATGCGGCGGCAGCTGGGAGAGCGGCTGCCCTAACGGCTGTCTCTGTTTTGTGTTTGCTTCTCTTCTCTTGCCCTCTGTCAGATTTAGTTGTCCAAAAGTAATTTGTTCTCTCTTTTTAAAAAGCCATTTTATTTGGGGGTGTTTACAGCTCTTATAACATTCCATACATCAGTTGTGTCAAGCATATTTGTACATATATTGCCATCATTTTCTACACATTTACTTTCTATTTGAGCCCTTGGTATCAGCTCTCTTTTTTTTTGGAAGGGATGGCAAGGACACTCTTAAAGGAGCCTGTCTAACCCTCCTGAGTCACAAGGAAGAACTGACTGACCCGCGCCCGCTGCCAGGGAATTAGAAAAGCTTAACTGGGCATATTAATAGGTATGTAAAAAGAACTTGTGATAGAAACCTGATATCCCATTGTTTGAAAATGCAGTTTTCTCTCCCCACCAAAGTCCCTTCATGATTATGACTAGTATACTTCAGTACATGACTTTGGTTCGGATATGGTAAGAGGCTTCAGAAGGTCAGGGGAAAGTACCATTATGGTTTTTTTTAATGGAAACAACTTTGAAGTTGGTCAACAGGGATATGAACTGATACAATACTACAGTTAACCTACTTCTCGCTGCGATAAATGACTTCACAGTGCCCTCTGATAACAAAGCTATTCACCAGAGCCTTCATCCAAGTTTAGGCTGTGCGAATGGAGTTGAGGCTTGACCAGGCATTCTTTCCATTCCGTTTTTCCACGACTTTTTAACCATATGTTTTAATAAGATGCTATGTGGTATTTTGTTCTGCAAACATTCTGTAAGAAAGGAATGACAGAGAGTGGAGGAAGGTCAGAACTTAGGAAGAGGGAGAAAAGGATCGTTTGCTCATCTGGTGGGCATTGTCTAACATGGCATTCAGGACTTGGGTAAAGGACTGCTGGTACGATGTTAAAAATCACTAGCACAGTGGTGCATTGTGTGAATGGTAGATACTTTGGGCTGGGGGTAGGGCCATACGGAGACTGCTTTCTGCGCCCCTAAACTGCTCAGGGAAACGGGAGTCACTCGAGCACCCAATATGTAGATCGCGGTACTCTGGAATACCTTGGTTAAGGATCTCAGGGATCAGCGAAATTCCTGTGACTCAAATCTTTCCCCCCTTGTTTTTATCTGCTTGACTTTTTTGGGGACTCCAGGATGCCCGGAAGTGGAGGTTCAGCAATGTTTTGCCACTTGAGACCTGTGAGGAGGTGAGTTGGTCCGATCTGTGATTGGTAACGGGCTGGGGTGCTTCAGAGACTGCCGTCAGTTTATTGTAACGGTCAGATTCTGAAATCATCTTATGCCGGGGTGGAGCGGGAGCTGCCAAAAGCCCAGAAAGAGCCGGAAGTATGGGTGGGGAGGCTTAGGGGGTGGGGGTCGGGGTAGGGGATGGAAGCCTGTCTGTGAAAAAGGTTCAGAGTAAAAACCTAAGAAACAAAAACGAGCAAGTGTCTTTTTTGGACACCTGGCCCCGCTGCCCTCCAGTCAGTTGCTATTCTGCGGAAAACCTTGATACCTATTTAAGGTCATTGGGGTTCCCTGCACTGTCAATCGAGGATGCATAATGCAGATCGAAGAGACAAATGAACAGGCAGACTGAAAGAACCTGAGCAGAGACCCAAGCCCTGCAGAGAAAGGAGAGCCTTGTGCTCAGATTAAACGGTCAGTCGAATTGAACACCAACGTTAGGGTTGGCTTTTTAAGAGCCCAGTCAAGACGGGAAATAAAGTGTTCACCAACCGTCATTTGGGTAGAAACCCAGACAGGTGAGGTTTTAGGTTTACAAAGCAAATCTGATTCATTTTACCTTTACTTACCTTTACGTGTACCTTTACATGAGTATTAGGAACCCCAGCGGCGCAGTAGGGGCTCAGAAGATCAGTGGTTTGAGGCCACCAGCTGCTCCTTGGGAGACAGGCGGGCACTGTGCCTGGGTAGACATTTACCGGCTTGCACACCCCCTGAAGGAGGTAGTTGTGCTTTGTCCTTTAAGGTCCCCATGCATCGCAGTCCGCTCAACAGCAGCCTGTTTGCGTGACTGTTAAGGTAAATTCAAAACAAAACAAAACACCTCACTGCCCCCAAGTCCGGGCGGACTCATGGCGGCCCTGCAGGACAGGGTTCAACTTCCCCTGTGGGTGTCCGAGATGGTCACTCTTCACTGCAGTCGAAAGCCCCGTCTTGCTCCTCGGAGCAGGCTGCTGCTGTTCCCACTGCCGTGACCTCGCCACTAATAACCTAATCGATGCGTAAACCACCACAGTCACTGCTAAAAGGCGGCTGTGTAGAGGAAATACAATTTTTGTTCTCCCCTCCAAGTCAATATATGTCAAGGAGGATCATACCAAGGGGAGACCTTGCCCTGACCGAATTTCCGACCTCATTGTCAAGCTCAGGGACTGCGGGCGCCCTGGACGGTGTTGGAGCAGCTGGAGGTGGTGGACGGACGCTCTGTTCATCCGTTTGACCACAGAGCACGGTGCCGTGCCTCTCCCTTTCTCTTGCCCTGACTTGGTAAAGCCAAGAGAGACTGAGAGACCCTAAGCCAGAGAAGGCGCCCTCAGGTGCCCAGTCAGGTCTCTTCCCTTGACGCTTGCCTGCCCCCTCACCCAGTGCCTCCGGCAGGCAGTGGACAAGAGTCATCCGTCGTCGCAGAGGCCACCACGCTGACTTCAGGCCTCACTGATGGACGGTGGAGAACCCTGCTCTCCAGGAATCTCGACTGACTCGAAGCCCAGCCTGGTGCTTTCAAGTACCAAGGACGGATGTGGAGGCCAGGATGGAGACTGGTCCCAAGAGGAGAGAGTGGTGGTAGTCTGCGTCTGTTAGGGACTTTCGGCCTCAGAAAGCCTGTCAGACTGGTCTGCTCTGGCCAGCAGCCATAGCTGGTGGCCCTCTACAACAACAGCAGTTAGGAGCTGTGGTCAAGACCATCTGACCACAAAGCCTCAAATCCTTCCTGCCTGACTCTTTACACTCACGGATGACTGGCTCCCACTGTGGGGATTCCTGCCTTAACGTCTCTGTAGCTTACAGCCCGGATTTCCTGTGTTGGCGGCTCAGTTTAAAAGCGCAGGCGTTTTCCATGGTGTTTTGTCTGAGAGGTCTCTTGAGGAAGCCCTCCCTGCGCTTGCAGAAAGCACACAGGAACAGACCGCCTATGCCAGAGCGGGGTGGGGCTGCCCTAAGGCGCTCCCTACCCCTCCTGCCCCTGTCATCCACCACCAGGAAGCTGGGCCTCGCCGAGCTGCTGGCACGTGCCCCAGAGTCTGTCAGTCTTTGGAAACCAGAGCTGATGAACCGTGTGGGGGCCGCACCAACAAGCCAGGCTCCCAAGGCTTGTTGCCACAGGGCAGGGGCCAGATCGGTGTCCACCCTCCATCCCTTTCCCGGACACCAAGGGCCCTTCCCAGGGCACTGCAGTTCTGTGCCTGGCATCCATCATTCATTGCAGGGACCAGACAGCTTGCAGGAGATGCTCTTGTTACCAGGTTGATTGCCCAGTTCAGAAGTTCCCAAATTCAATTCGGGTGAAAAATGCTCAGGATACAGTGGCTCAGTCAGGACAGTTTCCTCTCTGCTGTGCCCACAAGCAGCCCTCTCTCTGGCTCCCAGCCTCTTGGCCTGCCCTCTACCCTGCTGGGACACTGGCGCAGAGCTCTTTTAGAGCTGTCAATAAATGTCCAAAGGGCGTGCCTCTGTGTTGTAAAGCTCAACTCCAAGGTTCAGTTCCAGCTCAACATTGCCCAGTGAAGGGCCCAGAGGTATACCACTCCACAAGCCAACCTTGTACCCCGAACCACTCACCTCTGTTTGCCCTGTGAACTGGGAAGTACACCACTTACCCAGACCTCTCCGAAAAACAAAAGGTGATTCAGTGGGAGCGGCAAAAACAATAGCCAGAAGAGCCTAATCAAATAATTCACTGTTACAAGATCTGAAAATCAGTGTCATGGACGTGCTTTGGAAAATCTCAAATAATTTCATATGGATTTAAAACTGTATAAAATTGAATATGGATTTAAAACTGTA